AAATAACATCAGTAATAATAGCTCACTTTTCTATAGTCATTTACAAAGCACTTGCCCATCCATTATCTCATCTGAATCTTTTCATAGTCCTGCAAGATGAACAAGGCAGGCATTATTTTCTCCATTATACAGAGGAGATAACTGGAGCTGAGAGACAAATAGATTTGAGGGGCCAGAGCCTAGGCAAGACCCCAGGTCTCCTGACTGATAATCTGGTTTTCTAACAGGAAAACATCAAAAAGTTTCAATCAATCATTTGTAAAAGGCAGTGTGCGGGAATGAAAAGATTATTGGATTTGTAGACAGAGGACCTCAGTTCAAATTGAGGCTCGGCTATCTATTTCCAATTGTGACTTCACTTCTCTTTGGGCCTCAGTATATTTTGTAAAATGAAGCATTTGGGCTAGATGATTGCTAAGATCCCTTCAAGCTCTAATGTGTATAATAATTCAACAAAAACCAAAAAAATGTATTACCAGATGAATTCCCAAAAGGCCCAGTGTTGGACGCCACCCTTAGGAGTGTTTCTACCCCTTTATCAGCCTCCAGTGCCCAGGGCAAGTAACCCTGAGACTGACCCTCTGCAAATTTTTGGCATTGCCTCAGACTCTAGGCTAGACCTCTCTGCATCCACCCTGATAGCCAGCTGTGGAGCAGCCCTGACTGATGTGAGCCCCATGACCTTGGGAATGTCTCTGCTCCCTTTTTCACCCTCAGGAACTTGGACAAGCATCCAGAGAATGAGCATGATTGTCCTTCTGTCTTTCGCTCTGATCAGTCCATTTCTGAAGAATTATGTCATATTCTGCACTACTTATTTTAGAAAGGATAATGAAAAGCTGGAATGGGCCCAGAAGAGAGTGACCAGGATGATACGAGGACTACAACACACCCAATTCAAGGATCGTTTGAAGGAATAAGCCTAGAAAAGGAAAGACTGGGTAGGGGAGGGGTTGGAGGAAGGGATGACACAGGCTTTCAGATATTGGAAGAGGGATTATCCTTATTCCGCTTGACTCCAGAGGAGAGAATGAAGAGCAAAGGTAGGTGTTGCAGATACATTTCCACTTGATAAAAGGAAACACTTTCTTGTACGTAATTAGAGCTGTCTTGGTTTGATGGAATGCTACAGGAAGCAGTGATTTCCTCAGTGCTGGGAATGCCCAAGAAGCTTTGTGGTCACGCATCAGAAATTCAACGGAAGGCGGGGAGGTGTAGGGGAATTCTGACTTGGGGACAAGTTAGACTGATCTCCTCTGAGATCTCTTCCAGCCCTCATAGTCTAGGATTCTCTAACCCTTTTCTTCACCCACTACACCCCCTACCTCTTCCTGCCCCGCCACCTCTCAAAGCATGCTGCTCCTATGTGCTCCCGTCTCTTCCTCCACCTCTCTCTAGCTCTGTGCATGCTCCTCCTTTCCCAGGCCTCCGGCCTATACACCCCCACACCGACGGAAAGAACTTACTGGGAGGGGGAGGGATGTCGGAAAAAAGGGGGGGAGGGAGGTCATCCTGACTCCACACCAAAAGCCCTCTTGTGACCTCAGCTGGGGGCCACTCCCAGAATTCCACAGCAGGCGCTTTCCAGAGCTTGTGAACGAGGCTCCTGAGGGGCTCCCTTGGTGCTGTTGACGAATTGCATTCCTAAGAGAGGGCAGATTATTTGTAAGGCGAGTTCCCCAGAGAACTTCAGACCTATAAACAGGCTCAGGCCTTGGTAGGCCCGCTTGCCGTTGGCCAGGAAAAGAAGCGTAACAAGGAAGGCAAAGGGCAGATTTCAGTAGAGGCATAGAAGAGGGAGGAAAGGGGGGAGAGGGAAGGTCCCAGCATGTCCCATGGGAGGGCTCAGGACAGGAGCTGGCTGAAAATGGAAGCTTGATGGAGCAAGGAGCAGGCACCATCTGAAGTCAGTATCACTGTGTGTACAAAATATGCCCTGTTCCCGAAGTGTCTGACCTCAAGGATTTCCAAGCAATCATGAACCAGGAGTTTGATTACTTTTTGGGGATTCTTGGAAAGGGGCAAAGTGCCATCAAATCATAGACCTAGAGCTGGGAAAGACCCCAGAAGCCCCCTAGTCTCACCTTTTAATTTCACAGACAAGGAAATTGAGGCCCAGAAAGATTCAGTGATTTACCCAAGGTCACACAGAGAGTGTCTGTCAGAGGTAAGATTGGAGCCACTGTCCTCTGTCTCTGGAGCCAATGCTCTTGCCACTGTACCAGTGGGTTGGAAGATGCCATCAAACAAACAACAAAAACAAAGAAAGTCCAGCAGTCTTTCAAGCATAACCCCTAATTTTCACCATCCCCTAAAACGAGGCCTCCAAGTATCCCAACTGCCAGGCTGTCAGAGACCATGATGTTCCCCTGAAAAGTAGAAGCACTGTTATTCAAGGGCCTTGTCCCACTAGCTAAGTTCTCCATAACCACAGGCCCCACAAAAATATACTCTTGGTTGAAAAAGGTGAAAAGTAATTAGAAGTAGATTACTATTGAGGAGAGGGGAGAGTATATAGTTTCATTTGTTATTATTATCAAACTTACAGTCTACCAAAAAAAAAAAAGAAAGAAAGAAAAAAACAGGCCTAAGCTTTGGGCTCTGAGAAACTTTTCTCATTGTCTTATCAGGAACTACCAAAAGAGTCATGCCTACACCTCTTTTACTGCATCTATTTCTCTGCATGGCCAAATCTTGAAGATATGGAAATGCAGGATTCTATTCAGAAGCACATTGAAGCAGCAACCCCTCTAGCCTTCTGACCACCAGGTCTCTGGTCCAGTGCAGACCTGCTGAGGTGGGGGGTGAGCTCAGGGATGAGAATCAATTTGGATCATTTGTGAAAAATTACTAGCTTGGCTTTGGAATTATGCAAAGAAAGTGATATCCTTAAAATGTCCTTACCTCTTTTACCCAGAGATTCTACTACTAGGTAATATAGCCCAAGAAGCTAATTGATAAAAAAGAAAGGCTCTATATATACCAAAATATTTACAGCAGTACTTTTAGTGGTAGCAAAGACCTGGAAACAAAGTAGATGCCCATCAATTGGGGAAATGGCTAAACAAGGTGTAGTGCATGAACATAATTGTATAATTTCTTGTGTCCTCAGTGCCTAGAACAGTATCTAACACATAAGTGCTTAAATAATGCTCATTGATGATGTAACAAACAATACATATGAAGAATACATAGAAGCCTGATAACACTTATTTGGGATGACTCATATGAACTGATGCAAAGTGAAGTAAACAGAAATAGGAAAACAATATACACAATGATTACAACAATGTGAGTGGTAAGAATGATAACAACTAAATAATAGAAACTGCTGTGAAATTACAATGATCATGTCTACCAAAAAGGAGGTAAAAGGATGCACCTACCCCTGCCTTCTTTGTAGAGATGGGGACTATGCGTATAGAACACTACACATGTCAGGTTTTTTCTGCATGTTGGTGAGTTTTCCTGAATTTTTTTCCCCTCTTTTTTATTTCCTGTTCTAAGGAATAGATCTCTGGGTGAGCAAAGAGAAGGGGAAGGGAAGGATATATTTGAATATGTTAAATGTGAAAACAAAATATATCCATTAAAATTTATTTTTTACAAAAAGAAATTACCTTGGGAAAAGTCATTGGAAACCATCTCCTCACCAAATAAATACATATAAACACACAAATACATAAACACACACTTTCTTTTTCAAATCTGATAGAGAAGATGCAGCTCTGACGAGGCAGCAAGCCGTTGGACCAACAATTAAGAGAACTGGGTTGAAATCCATGCTCTAGCATTGACTCATTATGAGACCTTGGGCAAATGATTTCTCTTCTTCAAGTCTCAGTTTGTTCATTTATACAGTAATTGAACCCAAAGATCTCTGAGATGCATTCCAACTGTAAATCCTCTGGCTAGCAGGCAGGAGAACTGTGTTTATCTCTTAGTATAACCTTAAGTAAATCATTTTCCAATCTTGGAGTTCAGTTTCCTCTGAGGAGGAAAGGTAGCACATTCTAAGGGAAAGGAGCATTGGATTTGAGATTGGAGGACCTGAGTCCAAATTCAGCCTAGCTTTACTACATGTTGTCTGTAAGTAAACTGTGACAAGTCATGTTAGGCTGTTCTCTAGGCTCCCATTTCTTCCTGTGCTGGAACAGAAGATCTGCACAGGTCTTTCTGACTCTTGAGCCTCTATTTCCTAAGTTCTCTTCCAGATCTGACATTCTATGATTCTAGGTTGGGGAAGGGCCAAGTATGCATTGAAGGAAACTTTCCCAACTTCAAATTATTGCAGCTAACAAAACTCTTTCGCAAGCCAAGGTTTAAAAAATAAATAAATAAACTTAATCATCTACAGACAATCCCTCTGATGAGAGGAAGCTGGGAGCTGAATCACCCCCTTCCTGGTTCCAGCCATGTGTAGGGACCTAGTCTGTCTAGACACAGCTTTTAGGGAGCGGCATTGCGGGCTCTTTCCCCTGAATTCCTGATACTTTAAGCTTAGAAGAACTTTGACTCATTCTCTGCAATTGCGTGAGGCAACAAAGAGGAGGTTCCTGCAGCTGGGTCACATGTGTATACCCTTCACATGTGTGTTAGAATGTATGTGCATGATAACATGCATACATATGGCCACACATTCACAAGGACTAATACACACCTTTGTCCAAGTATAGCTAAGGGTCAGTCAGTCAATCAATTAACAAGCATTTATGAAGTGCTTACTATGTACCCAGACACTACGCTAATTGCTGCAGATGTGAAGAGGGACAAAAATACAATCTATGTTCTCAAAGAGCTTACCTTCTAATGAGGTAGAAAACATGTAATTTACTAGGTGCATAAAAGATATACACAGCATAAATAAAAAAGATATACACAGCATTAAAAAAAAATCTGAGAGGTGAAGGAGGAAGAGGTTTCTTGGAAAAAGTGGGATTTGAGTTGAATCTTAAAAGAAACTAGAGAAACCAAGAGGATATATCTATACACACACATACCTGAAGATGCCACACAGCAATGCCAAAGCTGAAAGTATTTCTTCACTTTCATCCCAAGTAACTGGCAGTGGACATGGAATGGTAGAGCTGGAATAATAATTATTATAATTATAGTAGTAGAAGTAGTAATAGCAGTAGTAAGTAGTGATAATAATGACAAAAATCCCCTCCCATAATAGCTTGCAGAATATTAAATGCAAAATAATCATAGCAGGATAGCAACTTGTCATAGGATTGTTTCCCAATGAAGAGAAGAATGAAAATAAAAATCAATGATAGCTAGTGTTGGTACAGCACTTTAAGGTTTGAAAAGCTTTTTAAAACACATTATCTTACAAGATTCTCACAATAATTCTGAGATGGGTCCTGTAATCATCTCCATTGTACAGATGGGAAAATGAAGGCTCATAGAGAATAAGTGACTTGCCCATGGTCATTTAAATGGTGAAATTCTAATTCATCTTTCTCCCGACTCCAAGTCAAGGACTTTTTCTCACTGTACCACAGTGCCTTCTATTTTTTTTTAACATAACATTCACATGGAACTTTTTAGTTCTGCAAAATTTTTTTTATGTTATATCATTTAATCCTCATAGCAACCATGGGAAATATATACAAGTATCATTATAATCTCCATCTCATAGATAAGGAAATTTCAGCTCAGAAAGGTTAAATTCCTTAACTATGCTCACATGGCTAATAAATGAGATATCTGAACCCAGAGTCTTCCTAACTCTTCCTGCTACCAAGTGCCACATATGTCTCACAATATTTTTTCCCTTCAGTCTAACTCCTGAAGATTGTGTGTGGCAGTTTCTACCTCACTCACCTCTTCCTCACATTGTTTACAAACCAGAAGGGTCCTTTGAAAATAGAATGTTAGAAGTGAAAGGTACCTTCATCCAAAACTTTCATTTTACATATGGGAGAACTGAGGCCCAAAGTCACATGGCTAGTTAATGGCAAAACCCAACTACGAACTTTTTTGCTCTTTGAGACTTGAGTAACTCAGTTGTTCCCTTTGGATCAGACTATAATCAGAGGATCATAGAATCTCCTGAAAGTAACCTCAGAGTTCATCTGGTCCATCCCCTTAAGTGAGCAGGAATCTTATGGACAGGATCCCTGAGAGGCAGTTATCCAACCTCTGTCTGAAAAAACTCTAGCGACCAAGGGAAGCTCTACCTCCACAAGCAGACCACTCCATTTGGGGAAGGGTCTGATTGGAAGGAAGCTTTTCTTTCATATCAAGAGTAAATCTGCCTTCTCTACAATGTTTACCCAGTCGTCCTAGTTATATCCTTTGTGGCAGAATAAATCTAATCCCTTGTCCATATGACAGCTCTTCATATATTTGAATACTGTGATGATCTTCCCCCTCCCCCCATCAAGTCATCTCCAGACAAAACATCCCCAGTTCCTTCAACTGACCCTTATATGGCATGGTTTACAGTAGCTGAACCTGCTATATTTTATTGAAAGAAGATTGAGATGAAGGAACCAATGAAAGGGAAGTCCTATTGGATAGAAGGGGGCCCTTAAGGAGAAGTGAATTTCTACCTTGGGAATCTCAAGTTATGAACTGTCCCCTCTATTACCTCCTCTGCAGACATTCTATGTTCTAAAGTCTCTTTTAGACCTGCTCTTCTATGTTCTGTGCTCTAAGGTCAGGACTTTAGAGTCAGTTTCCTCCTTTGGAAAATGAAGGGTTTAGGATAAATATAATTTGGAACTTTCTGGTTAGATTACTACCAGGGGCAATAAAGAAGGTGGAGGGAGCAGAAAGATCTTTTGGCCTAGGCTCAAAGGATGTCTTGAATTTACCCATTAAAAGAGTACCCCCATTCATCTATGAAACAAAATTGTTAGAAGCTAGTTTTTCCCTTGATAGCACATTTTACAGAACAAAAGCCTAGAAAACCAACCATTTTGCTAAATTAAAAAAATATATTTTCAAATTACATTTCTTTTGTTTTCAAAGCTTATTTAATTTTGGTTATAGTAAGGGCTTCAAAAGTTGAACTTGGCCCTGGCCTCCCTGGAAATCTAAGAGCTCTTGCTCACTCTTCTCATAACTCTACTGAAACTGCTCTCTCCAAGGTCACTCATTACCTCTTTACCAGATCCAGTGTTCTTCTTCTTTGACCTCATCTAGCTTGACTTCTCCATAGCATTTGACAGAGCAGAGCACCACGCCCTCCATAACTTCATGAAACTCTCCTCCCTTGGTTCTTGTGACTGTGTATTCTCCCAGTTTTCCTCCACAGACTATTCATTCTGTCTTCTTCCCTTGCCCTCCTTTCTCTTCCTTGTCCCAGTCCACCCTTCTCATATGCTCCTACACACACATACACACACACACACACACACACACACACACACACACACACACACACACACCTGCTAAATGCAGGCATTATTCAAGGCCCTGTAATCTTTTTCCTTCTGTACAATTTCTCTGTCGAATTTGCCAATTCCCATGACTTGAACTACTCCTTCTATGCATGATGCCTGATAATCTTTTTCTTCAGCTATGACTTCTCTCCTGAGCTCCAGTCCCACATCTCCAACCACCTACAGGCAAATCTCCCTCTGTATATCCCCCTGGACCCTCAAATTCAATGTGTTCCAAACCACACTCATCATCTTCTCCCTCACTCCTTGCCCTTCCTCTTGATCCCTCTGTTTCTATTAGGGGTACTATCATCTACCCAGTCACTTACGTTCTAAACCTTTAAACCTTGGGTGTGAGGGAGAAGGAAGAGTCTAACATTTGACAAATCACGTCAATTCTTTCCTTACAATGCCCCTCTCATCTATCTCTCCTTTTCCATTCCTACTGCCACCACCCTAGTTCAAACCTTCATCACATTCTACTTAAGCTATTGCAAGAGACTCTCAACTGTTCAGTCTGCTTCCAGTCTCCCTCTCTGACCTTCCCACTGCACTCACCTTCCAATCCATTCAGAATATACCAACAAAACTAATCATCCTCAAACAGAGCATCATCTGATCACATCACTCCCCTGCTCAAAAAGCCTTCACTTTCAGTTGCCTGAAAGAAAAAAATAGTCTTAACTCCTTAGCTTGACAATCAAGGCTTTCTGTAATCTGTCCCCAACCTACTTTTCTAGTTTTATTTTCTACAGGCTTCATTACATTCCAGTGAAACTAAATTATTGTTTGGAATAGTGACTCCAGAGAATAACGTGACCCCAAGCTTTTGTGCACACCATTCTTTTCACTTGTAATACCCTCTCAACCCTCCAGCCTCACCTATAAAAGCCTTAACTACCCTACAAGACTCAGATCCAAAGCCACTCACTTCCTTGAAGTCTTCCTTCATGCTTCTACCCCAGCCAGAAGGACTTCTTCACTCCCTTGCATTGTTGTATTGTTCAACACTTTCTGCCTCATATTGGAAATACCTACATGTGTGTCCTATCTCCCTTAGCAGGTTTTTTTTCTTAATAATGAAAAATGTTTACTAAGGCTTTTGTGTTTATCAGGCATTATGGTAAGTGTTGGGGGAGATATCAGCTCCCATCCTCATGGATCAAGTAGAGGGATAAGACCTTTGCATACAGCTATAATGAACAATATTATATACTAAGTATAAGAGACATTAACAAAACAAAGTATGATGTAAGAATGGAGGGTAAAGGTTGTTACTGACCCAGGTGTGAAAGAAGACTTCAGAAGGAGCTGGCCTTTCAAGGATAGAAAAAAATTCAATAAGGAAAGAGGGAAAGGAAGGCAGTCTAGGTATAAGGAACACTCAAGTAAGAATATGGACCCATATATGGGAGCACAGTATAGGGTGTGTTCATAGGACAAAAATCATTCAGCTTCACTGGAGCTCTGAGTTCGTGGACAGAAATATTATGTGAGAAAACTGAAAAGGTAGGGTGGCACCAAATTGTCTGTGGCTTTGAATGCCATACAGAGGACTAAAATCTCCTTGAGAGAAGGGATCACATCTTATTCAACTTTGTATCCACTAGCACATTATAAGAAGATGAAGGAACATATAATAAAGCTTTCAATACAAAGAACTGAACAAAAAATGAGTTATCAGTATTTATCCCTTTCCAGGCAAGTCTGAGATCAGGCTCCATAGCTAAATGTACAAAATCTGGACAGGGATCAACACACTGTCTTTGAGCTAGGGAAGGAAAATGGTCTCCTTAGAAAGATTCATAAAATCCTACCACATAGAACATTAGAGTGGAAAGGAGCATCAGAGCTAAAAGGGACCTTAGAACAAAAGATACGAAATGTTAGAGATGAAAGTGGCTTTAAAACAAAGAACATCAGAGCAGGACAACCTAAGCTAAGCAATAATTTAATGCAATCCTCCTCTCCCACTTAATACATAAGGAAACTGGGTTACAGAAAGGGGAAATGAATTGCCCAAAGTCATACAGCAGAACTAAGATTAGAAACCAGGTCTTTTGACTCCCAAGAAAATGCTTGAACTAGAATGGCTTCCAAAATGTAAGAATGTCTTCCATGTTTGACCTAGAGAGATATGCCAAGCCTGTCACACTCACTGTGAGGCCAACTACCATCTGAGTAGGGCTAGAGGTGGTTTGGTCCTGATGCTAATAAATCAAGATGTCCAGGAAGGTTGGGCACAGGCAGCTCCTTATGGGAAACTCCTCCCCTTCCACTCAGGAGGAGGCCAGAGAGACTAGACTACAATGGGGACCATTGAGGGGGCCCTTGAGAGATTAGTCAGTGCCTGTACAGGATTCTACCTGTCACAGATTGCATACTAAGAGGGCAAGGTGAGCTCTGCGGAAATGGGAGGGATCCTAAACCCACAGTCCTGGCAGCAGCGTTGGCCTCCCTCCCAACACCAGCCTCAGTCCCTCTGTCCTGGAAAGCTCCAAGGAAAGGCTGAAAACTGTTCCCTGGCTTTAGAGGACCCAGCAGGATCACAGCCTGTAGCCTGATCCTGCCTGGATTATCTTTGGTGCTATTCTACAAGGCAGGGTAACCCCTGAGGTGACTTTTCAGGCTCCCTCCTGCTTTGCTATTTCTCCACAATGGAGAAACAGAGCTTCTTCAGATCTCTTGAGCCAATCAAACCAAGGGAAGAATCAAGAGTATTGAGATTACACCATGTTCCTCACCAACTAAGCCCCCCAATCCCTTGCCCCCTGCTCTAACTCCTTTCACCACAGTGTCTCTCCTCACCCTGCACCATCCTTAACCCTAGTCCTTAGTATCCTGAATCATACTCACCTGTAGACCCTGAAATCACCCTAACTTTCATTCTTACCCGCTTTCCTCCAATACAACTCTGTCCTAAAGATTTTGTCCTCCATCCTCCTCCTCCTCCTCCTTATAAAAGATGGACTTGGAGCAAGGAAAATCTGTATTCAAATTCCATCTGACATTTAGCTATATAACTCTGAGTAGGTCACAAACTCTCTGGAACTCAGTTTCCTAATCTATACAATGAATTGGTTGGAGTCAATGGCTTCTAAGGTTTCTTCTAGTTCTATGATCTCTATCCATGATCTCTTCAACCTAATTTCTTTGTCCCTAACTCTAACTCTTTTTACCCCATCCCCTTCCCTCTCCTTTTTGCCCCTTCCATTCTCTGTCTCTACTCTAAAGACCTAGCCCCACTCCCAACCCTTCCTTTCGTTTTCAACCCTTATCCATATAATAATTCCTACCATATACATTTTGCCCTATCTTCATCTCTCCTCCCTCATGCCTCTTCCTTGCCCATCCTAAGCCTCCTGACCCCAACTGTAACTCACCACACCTCACTATCCCACATTTCTACCCTAACCAGTGTTCCCCATCCTAAACTCATTTTGCTACAAATATTTCTTGCCATGACAACTACATATTCTATGTAGGCAGTCCCAATTTAAAGAAAATAAAATTGTCTTTTAACAAGGTTTACAAAAGGAACAAATTTTGACAGACCTTGGATCTTTATTTGGGGTTTATAAAACATAGCCACACTGTTCCCTAAATACTTACACTTTTCCACCCTAAATACTCTATCATCTTACACTGCCCACATTAGTCTCACCATACCCACCCTAATGCTCTCATACCCACCGTAGGCACACTGTCCCTTTCCTAAAAACACTCAGTAAGAAAAATTTTCCAGTCTTAAAAACCCCATAAGTCTTTATCCCCACTCTGTATAGTAAGTACCTCCCTTATCACTACCCTATGCTTAGAATTTGTCTTTATTTTTTTTCTGTTGCAGCTTCAGAAACAATACTTTTAAGACACATGACTCCTTGCCAGGCTATTGGCACCAATGAGTTAAAAATTTATCTGAGGAGTTGACAAAAGAATAGTTGTTGCTGGGCATTAAAGGGTGAGTTGGTGGAGGTCACCTGGCCAAGAAAGGTGGCATTTGTCTAAGGCTGGTATAACTCATGCTCAGGACAACCAGGACCTTAAGAACCCAACAGAGACTGAACAAAAGGAAACGAGGAGCAAAAACAGAGCCAGAAACCCTTACGATGGGAGAGACAAATCAGTCTCTACCAGAGTCCCCTGCTTCCTTATCCTGTCAGGACTTACCTCTTAGGTCAAGGTCATGGCCTTAGCTCCATCCTGGTCCCACCCAGGCGGGATGGGCTGCATCTGGCATTCAGCAGGAGGGTGGGGGGAGGGGGGACTTGGAGTGGGATGGGAAAGGAGGCCATCCCTTCCCTTCAAACTATAAACTGCCACTGGGACCCCAAAGCTGCCACCAGCGCATTTTTAAACAGCTGCTAACCTGAGCCCCCTTCCCCCAAACTTCTTGCTGTCTCCCCAGCTAGAAAACCCCTTTCTTCGTTTTACCTTATATGAGCTGAAAGAGGAGTCCAGGAGGCCTGAACTCCCTCTGTCCGGCCCTCCCAGGGCCCCCATTGGCCCTGGCCCGGCTCACGTGACCACCTCGCCTTGACCTGCCCGGGTTGGGGGAGTGTTGGCTTTACCCCCTAAGGAAGGAGAGCTTGACAATTTTCATATTTCTTCTAAATTTGGAGATTTCAGACAATGCTGGGAGGTTTGGCTCAGACTGCCAAAGCCCATGTGGAAGTCATTAAGTCAGAGAGGGGGAGGGAAGGAGGGAGGGAAGGAGAGGAGGAGGAAGGGAGGAAGGGAGGAAGAAGGGGGGGGAACAACTGAGTTCGTGAGGACGACAGGCCTGTGACTGTTGCCAGTTATATGCCTGGGAACATGAGCAACATGCTCAGAGAAAGTTGTTTGTAATAATTTCCTTCCTTTCCTCAAACCTTTCTGCTCCATGTGGGAAAGGATGAAAAGGAAAAAGTCCTGAGAACTTCAGGCAGGAAGAACCAAATCCTGTCTCCTGCTGATGGGCCTCCTATAGCTGGGAGGAGAAGGGTGGGGGCTGGGCTTGCGAATGGAGAGAATCTTTGAAAAGTGGGGGGGTTGGTTCAGGGGAACAATGGAATCCAAGAAGCTGACTTGGAGTTGAAACCAAAAAATGGGAACCACGGCTCGGCCGAGGGTGGTGTTACTCTTCATCTTGAGAGAACTGGGACAGCCACATGATGTCCTGGGGATAGTCCTGGACTCAAATCCCTTAGCTTTGACAGGAGTTTGGGCTAGAAGAGACCTTAGAGATCATTTAGTCCAACCTTCTTATTTTACAAAGAAAGTAACTGAGGCTCAGAGAGATAAAGTCATTTGCCCAATTCAGGAGCCCAGGTTCAAATCTAAATTTTACTGCTTATTAGTCTAGCCGAGTCACATCATTTCTCTGAGTATCATTTTCTGAATTTTTGTATGAGTTGATGTACTTAAAGTACTTTGTAAGTCTTAAAGCAATATAGAAATTTGAGCAGTTACTATTATTTTCAATCTTGATTGGTTCTAAGTCATAAAGGGGGAGTATTAAACAAACAAAAAAAAAAACTTTCACTCAGATAAGCCAGAATTGCTCAGGAAAGCAAAGTATAAAAGTCACCATCCATCCACTGTTAGGCACATTTGTCCTTCATATCACCTATGAACTTGGACACTCCACTAGACTGTAGGAAAAAATCCCAATGTGGCTTGCCCTCCTTACCTCATAGTTAACACTGAATGCCAGAGTTGGAAGGGATCTTAATTTAAACTCCCCTCCCCCATTTAGAGAGAGAGAAACTGAGGTTCCAGTCAGACCCCATCTGGAGAATTGTGTCAATCCATTTTTAGGCAGAGCAAGTGAAGTTGACCAAGTTGGTGAGGAGACGAGAAGGAATGTGAGCCTTAGCCTAAGTGAGAGAAGACTTATTCAATAGTTGTCTTCAAATCAATGACTCTCATATGGAAAAGGGATTAAAACTGATCTGCCTTGCCCCAGGGAACAAAACTACGGTAGAAGTAATTGGTAGAAGTTGCAAAAAAACAGATTCTGGCTCATTATTAGAGCTGTCCAAAACTGAAGAAAAAAACAAAAACAGAAACAAAAAACAAATGGACTGCCTAAAAAAGGAGCGCATCAACTGGATAATAATATTAGTTAGCATTTATATAATTCTTTAAGATTTGCAAAGAACTTTACAAATATCTCATTTGATCCTCCCAAAAAGCCTTGGGATGTAGGTACTATAATTATCCCTCTTTTACAGATGAGGAAATTGAGGCAGGCAGAGGTTAAGTGACTTGACCCAGGTCATACAGCTAGTATGTGTCTGAGGCTGAATTTGAACTCAGCTCCTCCTGATTCCAGGCTCAGTGCTCTATCTGCTGTGCCACCTAGATACTTTCAAGCAGAATTTATATGATCACTTGTTGGGTGAATTTTAAAAGGAGGTCGTATTCAAGTGGGTATTGGAGTAAATGACCTGTGACATCTCTTCCAAAACTGAAGCTCTATTGTTCTTTGACTCCTTGGCTGGGGCTCTTTCCTGTATGCCCCTAATTCTCTGTGTGATGTTAGTAAAATAATTTCCCATCGTGACCCCTTAATTTCTTCTGAAAAATGAGAAGGTTGAACTAGAATATTCAGCTCTGATAGGCTATGTTCTATATTCTCTTATAGGTCTGACAGTCTATGTTCTGCTATAAGGCTTCCACGTTCAGCCTTAGGACCTTTGCCCAGGCTGTTTCTACTGCCTGGACCACTCTCTCTTTCCTGCTTCTTGGAATACTTAGTTCCCTTCAAAGCCTAGTTCAAGTTCCATCTCCTACATGAGACTTTTTCCTGATCTCCCCCTATTTTTAACCAATATTACTACATATTTATTTTGTATTTATTTATTGGTGTCCATGCCGCTTCTTCCTTCTATGTAATGTGAGGTCCTCAAGGGCAGGAACTATTTTCATCTGTTTGTTTGTTTGTTTTTTCCTATTCCCAGTGCCTAGCACAATGCCTTACACATAGGGAGTATTTAATAAAGATTTACTGAATTGGATAGAATTGAATTCCGTCTCTGACATTCTGTGAAATCATTGTAATCAATATTTGTTGAGTAATGCCTATGATCTACAGGGGTGGGGAACCTGTGGCCTCATGACCACATGTGGCCCCTGAGTCTGGGCACTATGGTGTTTAAGCTTATCCAGAGATGAAGCAGACCCATGCCCTTGCCCTGAAGAGGGCCACGGTATAGAACTAGAGAAAGGAGGTAGACATAACAATCTGCATGACAATGGAGAAAGTATATATAACCTGAGTGTCAACAGAATGGTCAAGGCAAGGTGCGATAGGAGGCCACAGGAGCAATCCCTGAGGGCTAGAGGAAGTGATTAGAGATGGCTTTGTGGAGAGATGAGATTCAAGCGGGTGTTAAAGGTATGACAAGACTTAGACAAACAGAAAGAAAGGAAAAGGCAGGGACAAGGGAAAGAAGGGAAGAGAGTGGATGTGACCAATGACTTAGAGACCAGGCAATGTGCTTTAGTTTCTTGACTCCCAGTCCATGGCTCTTTCCACTTCATCCATTGACTCCCTTAAATTAGTGAAAAGAACGTAGGACCATGTCAGACAACATAGGTTCTAGTTCCAGGTCCGTCACTTACTGACTGAAACCTTGACCAAGTCACTTGCTCTCTCTGAGACTCAGTTCTCTCCTCTGTAAAAATGGGGATAAATAACTTGCTCTGTCTTCCTCACTGGAAAATTGGGATTCAATGCTTTTATGACTTTGTGGCCTTATCAATGTATTTCCTTCCTCCAGTGATATAGATTACAACTATTATTGTGGTCATAAAGTGTTTTTTAAAAAAACATAAAACCTATTAAAATGTTACATTTTTGTCATCATTTCTTTACTAAAGTCCTCTTTTTATCACTCATCATGACAAAGAGTACCTATCTCCAGGTTCTCGAGGGGTATTAAGAGCTGCAAGTCCAACCCCCTTATTTTAAAAATAAGGAAACCAAGACTCAAGGGAGGGGAAGTGACTTACCCAAGGGTGCACACAAAGTTAATGTTGGAGCCTGGGCCCAAACCAAGTCTTCTGGCTCCCAGCCCAGTGTTGTTTGCACTGTGTTATGTCTACCTCCCTAGAGACAGTCTGTGTAGGGGAAAAGTGATGGGGAAGGAAAATCATTGCAACCTCTTAAATACCAGGCTAAGGAGTTTGGATATGATCAGATGGGAGAGGGGACTAGTAGAACCATTGACGTCAAGTATCCTTCTTCATTAGGGAATATTGTATCCCTGGCCACATTTTTCAGCACTGTATCTTACGGTCCCCTGACAAATGGAGTCAGAAGAAGGAGCCATACTCCATACTGTCCTTGCCAAATCCAGACTCTCCCTCTGTCACTGTCAACTCAGCAAACTCTATATCTTTAAGATTCACTGCATCAAGTTCAAAAAGAAACAAAGACAAGAGGGACAGCTTCAGAATCAACATGCTTAATGTATTATATACTTAAAAAAAAAAACAAGTTGTCTGTAATGGAGAAGTTGCATGCATAATCTTTTCTTCCCTGTTCTTTAAATATAAAGATGCTCGTCTTTGATATTGTTTGACAAGTTTAGAATAACAGAAAATTTTAAAATATATTTTAAAAAGATTCATTCCATCCATCTATATCACCTCCATGAAAATCCTGGCTGTTCTTGCCATTGCCCAGTCTCCTACACCACACCAATCCCTATCCTCATATATGAAAACTCTGATACACTTTTTTAATGTCCCCTCAAATACTCCAGGCTGTCAACTCACCAACCTCCTTAACTACTGTGGTCTGCTCTTCATTCTACCTCTGTGACACACAGGATAGTCATACCCTTGATCAAATCATGATCCAGAGGGGCAGCTAGGTGGTGTAGTGAATAGGGTACCGGCAGTGAATAGAGTGAGGAGGACCTGAATTCAAATCCAACCTCAGGCCAAACACTTGACACTTACTAGCTGTGTGACCCTGGGCAAGTCACTTAATCCCAATTGCCTAAAAAAAAAAAACATGATAAATTTCTCCCTCAGACTATAACTTCTTATTCTCCTAACATTATCCCCTACTTTGCTCCTGTTTCATCCTCATCATGACCTCCAGTGACTCCATTCCATCCAGTCCATTTCCATTTTCCCAGTCCATCATCCCTCCTCTGGCATCACTTTCCTCCCTTCACTGTCTTGACCCTATAGTTAATCACTTCAACTGAACATCATGCTCTTCCCTTGAGTGCCTTGCGCTAGTGTTGCATCATCACATACATCTTGACAAACCCCATCTCTGGCAGACCCCTACCTTTCATATTCTTGCTTGTGTGCTGCTGAATGCTGCAAGTGAAAGTCATTTAACTGAACCAACTGGCACTCATACAAATGTATGTTATGTGGTCTCAGCTGTCCCTCCCCGTCACATAACCATC